CACGCAAAGGACATGCCATTCCGCAGGGCGCCTGGCGAAAAGTTGATCCTTTACCCGGCCACCCGACCATCCAGCCAGTCGAGGAAGCCGCACCCAGCCGTAGCCAAAGTCAAAATCCTGGGAGTGGGACATAGTAGAGGCAACCACATATTGGATAGACCGACCGCCCACATGCACGTCCAAGTTTAACGCAAATAAATTGCGCATTCAGAGCGAAATTAACACGGCTTAAAGGGGAAAGCGGGAAAGTGGGAAAGCCAGCCAGAAAGAAGCGCCGAGCTGGGTGGAGCAACCATAACGAAGCTTTAGCACAAAAATATGTGGAGACCCGAAAAAAAAAACAAGATAGAATGCTATAGTCGAGTTCCCCGACTATCAGATACCCGTTACTCAGCTAGTGAAAGTGAAAACAAGAAATTTTTGAAATAAGTTTTGAAATAAGTTGAGTTATGGACTTTAACTTCAGTCTAGGGAGTTTCTACAACATCATAACATCAGAAAAATTACAAAAAAATTTAGAAAAAATAAATATTCAAATTGGAATGCAGTTTTGTAGAGAATTGCTCCAGAAATATTTATAGGTATGCCACTTCAAAATCCGATTAAGATAAGTTGAGTTATGGACATAAGAACTTTAGTCTTGGGACATTTTTGAGTTTCTACATCATAACATCAGAAAAATTAAAAAAAAATAAAAAAAAAAAAATTTCCAAATTTAAATGCAGTTTTTTAGAGAATTGCTCCAGAAACATTTAGAGGTATGCCACTTAAAAATCCGATTAAGATAAGTTGAGTTATGGACATAAGAACTTTAGTCTTGGGACATTTTTGAGTTTCTACAACATCATAACATCAGAAAAATTAAACAAAAATTAAAAAAAAAATAAATTTCCAAATTTGAATGCAGTTTTTTAGAGAATTTCTCCAGAAACATTTCGAGGTATGCCACTTAAAAATCCGATTAAGATACGTTGAGTTATGGACATAAGAACTTTAGTCTTGGGACATTTTTGAGTTTCTACAACATCATAACATCAGAAAAATTACAAAAAAATTAAAAAAAAATAAATTTTCAAATTTTAATGCAGTTTTTTAGAGAATTGCTCCAGAAACATTCAGAGGTATGCCACTTCAAAATCCGATTAAGAAAAGTTGAGTTATGGACATAAGAATTTTAGTCTTGGGACATTTTTGAGTTTCTTTAACATCATAACATCAAAAAAATTAAAAAAAAATAAATTTCCAAATTTGAATGCAGTTTTTTAGAGAATTGCTCCAGAAATATTTAGAGGTATGCCACTTCAAAATCCGATTAAGATAAGTTGAGTTATGGACTCTTGAACTTCAGTCTTAGGTCAGTTTTGAATTTCTACAACATCAGAAAAACAAGATAGAATGCTAAAGTCGAGTTACTCAGCTAGTAAAAGTGCAAACGAGAAATTTCAACATTTTCTGAAATATCGGGAGAGATTTTGCAAAAAAATTTAAAATTTTTCAAACTTGTGCTCGTGACAGTTTTGGGCTGATTGTGGGCGTTAGATTGGCGGTGCCAACATTTGGAAACAAACTGGCGCTGCGTCTATGTCTCTGAAAGCTGCTACTTAATCTCAACATTCTAGCTTTTGTAGTTCCTGAGATCGAGACGTTCATACGGACGGACAGACAGACATGGCCAGATCGATTCGGGAATTGATCCTGATCAAGAATGTTACGTACTTTTCATTGAATCTAGTATACCCTTTTACTCTACGAGTAACGGATATAAAAATGGAAAAAATAAACGGAAGGCAGCAAATAAAAACGAAAGCCAAGTGGGCAATATGACTCGCTCTGCCCGACGACTCTTTATTTGCTCCGCTTTTTGCTAGCATCAGCAGCAAAATGCAGACAGAAACAGGATGCAGGCGACTCCATAACTCACGGAGTCGGGCAAAACACGCTGAGGATATCCGTTTTGGGCATTCCCATGATTGAGGTTGTCCTCCGTCAGTTCCAAACTGCTCCTTCGTGTCGCTATTTCTGCCCTGCCTACTTGACTATGCATGGGCCGTGGTGGATTGCGAATGGAGCCCTTGCACTGCGAGAAAATCGCGTTGTCATGCTGCATATATCAAACTTGACGATCCAAAATACTCGTATATCATTGCATGCTTATGAACCCTAAAAGGGCTTTGAATACTTCTCTCAGTGCCCTAGAAGACGAGGAGCCTTGCGTTTGGCATTTAAATTGACGTATTCCAAAGCTCTGGCTATGTCCATGACTGTCATAAATGTGATAAGGGATGATATGCCTCGTTTCAGCCTCCCTGCCCGCGCCATCTTCCGTGGGCTGACATTTGGAGCTGGCTGCTTTGTCTTAATTAATAAGTCAATAGCTTGAAAGCTTGAGGCTGCTTACGCCGCCCAAACGACAGCATCTGCTCTTCTCCATAATTTAGTTAATGCGCTGCTCCTAAACTAAGGCCGCTGTCGGTCGGTCCTCAATACTCCCCCGCTCTCTGGACCAACATCCAGCCACTCCTTCTGCCCAAATCCCAGATACTGAGATGCTTAGATGCTTAACAAAGTGGGACAGATAGGAGCAATTTGCCTGCGACGAGGTGACAAAGGTGCGCGGTTTGAGGAAAACTGAATGGTAATGGTGGCCAGAGCAGAGGCAGCTTCGGGCCTTGTGAAAACATGGATACCCTGAGGAAACCCTAATTGGATGTGAGCGGGAGGGATTATCTGAGAGAGCAATCTTCACTTTGTGGGTAACTAGATTTACGAGTGTAGAACACATGACTGGTAGTTTGCCCAGAATAATATTAAAGCCTCATGTGACGCATCAATAGCCTTACAATTTCAAAATCAGAAGTGATTACCCAACTATCTTAGAAATGAATCTTCTGTTATACAGAATGTAAATTTTGCTTCATATTGACAGAAAGATTGATACGTCTTTTTCCTTTTTTTTATCGAATTCACTGTGAAGGCCCAGAAGAAACGACATTAGCTAGCTTTGCTGCCACTCTTCCAGGAAGTGTTGAAAAAGTGGCTGTAATGCTGCCGCTTAATTTCGTTATGAGCCCATGCACATTTGCGCCATTTCGCAACATTTTCATAATGGCGTCGCTTGCTGCAGGCACACACGTGGCCAACTGTGTAAAAGTTGATGGGGGATGTGAATGTGGATGGTGAAGGGGGTGCGAGTGTGAGTCTATGGCTGGATGACTGACAACATCGTTTGGCGGTTGAGTTTTTTATGCCAACGCCGTCGTGACAGCAGCATCGACAGCAGGAGCAGCAGCATTGGCAAACGGGCCTAATGGCGCAAATGTTCAATAAAGAGGCTTTTAACGTGCGCAGCTCCGCTGCCTCCATTCTCCATTCTCACCACCATGAACTAGACAGGATACGTCGTCGATGCTCTGCAATCTGGGCCCACTCCGCTGGGCCCTTTTAGATGCTACTGGAACGCACTTGGTGGCGCCGCACCTCCACGGAGTGTGAATGAAATGACCATATCCACGCTGAATAATACATGGTGCCCGTGAAAGCCATGTTTATTGGAGAGGGCTCCAAATATTTTTAGCTTGATTGGTACATGCCAGATACAATTAATTTGGACGCGGGCTGCAAAAAGGGGCCGCTGTTTTTGCTTGAAATTTGTTTGAATAATAAACACTCGCATGGCCACACTTCCCTGCCTTGATGGATGTGCCTCCAGCACATGGTGCGGTTTGGCTGGCTGTTCCGTAACAAATAGATCTACATATATGTGTTCATGAGTTCATTTTTAATTAAAATCTGCCTATGCGAGGATCGAATAAATTGAATTCGCGCGAAAGAGCAACACTAACACATTTATGACGCACGCAGCAGTTGATAAGTGCCATAAAAACTGAATTTCCAATTAGGAAATTTCAAAATCATACAGCGTTCATCCGAGGGACCCTTGAAACATGCAAATGCCCTACGCAGCAGAAGAAAGCTTGTGTCATTCAATTATTTCGCTATTATTTGGTCGAGGCCCTCGACTCCGCAAAGCATTCCCACACGTAGTATTCCCACTCTAGAAACGGGGTCTCAGCATCGTATCCGTACCTCGGAGCTCCCCTGTCAGTGCGTCCATGATTAATAAATGCGACACACTCACGACCACAACATCACTGACACCTCCAGAAGGCCAACAGCCGTCAAGGTGGGCTAAGTATGCTGTGGCTTTCCAGCTCGACTCCCCTCTGTTTTTGCCGGGCCCCAACCACAAGCACACACACGGCTCTCACTCACGCCTAGAGATACACAGAGAAAAAAATCGATATACGAGTATACCTTAATCAGTATCTAGTGAATTGAAAAATCTATTTGCAAGTGTGTTTGGGGCACAAAATGTGTGGAGTACCTTCCGGCGCCTTTAAATATTATACAATATTTTTCTAGGATTTTGAGTTCTCTTTCGGTAGTGGCCCTTAGAAGGAATTTATATTTCGGTGGTTGGAAATTTTCATATACTTTTCCGTGTACATAAATATGCAAACTTTATCGTGGCACGCAGCTCTTTTGTCACAAACAAGTAAAACAACAAGTACACGTAGCCATAACGTGGTACAAACTGCTCTCAAAAGGCGAACTTGAGTCACAAAGCTGAGGATAAAATGATATATATGCACACGTAAATACTTCATATTTACGAACAGCCAAAAGGGTATTGTGGTTTTCGCTCAGCATTTCGGAAAATATAATTAATTTAGTCTAAAAGTGAGTTTACGCCACAGCGCCAATGAGATTATTTAAAGAGTCATTAGGCAATTGTGAAACCAGCCCAAAACTTTCCGTCAACTCATTGTAGTACAAGAAAATGCTGAAAAGCTAAAATTAGCTGAGAGCTCACTAATAGTTGCACCAACTTATATGGCGCTATTGAAATCGCACAGAAATCGAAAGGACCTCCTTGATCCCTTGTCAAATCAAATTAACTAAGATATTTATACGCCTTTATCGCTTACATTCCCTTGCAGATTGAGGAAATCCATTGGCCGACGGTTTTACAGCATTCAATCAAGCGCAAATTGGCTCAACTTGCAAAAAGGGCACATTTTCGGGCTTGCAAATTCCAATCTTGAAACTAAATGACGCCTGTGTCTGAAACCGAAACCGAAACGCTGCTGCCAAATACCGCAACGCTGGACGCCAGACGACGGCCACAAATTAGCCAGCCAGCCGTAGATTTGCAAGTCTAAGGAGTCGCCAGCCCACCAGAACGCAGAAAGGGATCCCTGTTCAAAGGAGCCAACGAAGGCCTGTCTGAAACACAGGAGAAACATCAAAGGGAGCACCAGCCAGTGTTACTGCGACTGCGACTATTTTTCGGGAGCGCCAAAGGATTCATTAAAAAACCGCCAACCTGGAACTAATGGAATTAGAGAATATTGTGGCCAATACGGTCTACTTGAAAGCGAGAGAAGGTAAGTGGCTTTACTTTCTGAGGAAGTGAATATTTAAACACTTGAGTGCCGACATAAACAATGTCTGTCGATGGACTTCAAGGCAAACTCGTACAATATGGCGGTTTATCAACTTTAATATGTGCTTTTAAGTTTAATCGAGGATATTTCAATTAGCCAGTTCAAGAAGCTCACGAAAGCGGCTTTAATTCAGTTCAAGAGAATTCCTTAAGCTGCTACGGTAGAGCATCCTTGCAATCGCCAAATTGTACCTCTTCGTTGGAGAGCACCTGGCTGAAGTGCTGAAGGGGCCCGTGTTGTCACCTGCCATCGATTTTGGCTGCCTCATCCGCCCCATCTGCCGCACCGAAGGGTGGTCTGCTTAATTGGAGGCGCTGAAGTTGGGCTGGAATTTTCCCATGGATAAGCGAGGATGTGGGGCTGCCACTGCCGATTTTGTCCTCGGTCGCTTCTCGGGCTGGTCCTGGGTTTTATCTAAAGTTAATGAAGCGTTAAATGTTTGCGCTCCAGCAACTTATTCATTTTCATGCTCCATGGTGCCGGGCTTTAAGTGCTCTATTGGATGAACGTGGACGCTCCCGCAGATACACTTCACTTCGTTATCGAGGTCACACTTCAATTGCAGGGCCCACGCCTCCGCCAAGTTCACTGTCAGCTCGGCAAACTCCGCCCACATGACCCCACATCCCACATCCAGCGCGCATTCCTTGTTGTTTGGCGCCATTGTTCTGTTTATTTACAGCAGGGGCAACTTTGGCGATTAGGTTGTGGGAAATTTATGCAAAGTTATGCATTAGACGGAGAGAGAAGTTTGTGCAAGGCGCCGCCAGCAAAGGTCACCTTCACTCGGCGTCGTCGGTATCGTTGCTATCATGCACATCCCAAGCATCCCAACATGTTGCATGCCCCAACTGAGTGTATCGCATCCTTCTGCATGCGCCCAATCAAATATTTCATTTTAAATGTTATTTATTTTATTGCCGTCTGCCTGATAGTAAGAGCAGTCCCCTTTCTGCCAGATACTTTGGTTCGTTTGGTTTCGGGCCGCCTCAACAGATTTAAATGACAGAAACGTGCGCAAAATTTCAATTTGTAGTAATGTAATATTTTAGAGCGGAGCGGAATGGCAATGGGCTAGAAGCTGCTGGGCAAATGACTCCGGAGCGGGATGGGCATACACATTTGCAATACATTTTACAAGTCAGAAAGTGAATTTGTCTTCGGGAAGCAGGGAGATGGCCTCAAATGAAGTCGCGCCGCCAACTGCCGACGGCAACAAGAGGAAAATCCATTGCCATAAAGTTTTTCGGTCCCATTCTGCTATTCTGCCTTATTCCTGGTCCGGAAAAGTTCTGGCCGTACCCGTCATATTTTCTGGCTAGCAAAGTTATTGTTGAATGTTGTACTTCAGCTAAAGTATGCGAAAGCAAATGCAAATGTAAGCAGCACGGATGATTGTTCGTTTCTTAGTCACTCATTTACAAGGACTTATAGCTGTCAGATTGCTGGTATGAAAACTCTGGGATGTTCACGAGATTGCCAGACTTTCGGTGCACTTTACCTGTCCTGGAAGTGCAGCTTCCAGTAAGTGAACCTTGAACCACGAGCATGTGGCTGCGTATAGAAACACTCTTTCTTAGAAAGCGGCCTAATAAATGTCCATGCAAGAGAGTCGCTGATTCTCAAACTCATGAATTACGACCCGATTTCTGCCTATGCACGGCTATTGCAGATTAGCAATTGTTTCATCGAATTGCCTGGTTTAATTTGATACTCAGCGAGCATTTCTGCCGACCCAAACGAGTGTGCAATCAAGTAGAAGTCATTGCCTGTCAGAGAATTGGTCTGCAAGCCAATTCTCCCGTATCAGCTTACAGATTGTCGTTGCCGATGCTATCTGCAGTAAGTATATTTACATGTGTGGGACAGAACCGAATCGGATCGGGATCGGGATCAGGGGTCGGATGTCGGAGCCGGGGTCTTGAGCCACCTACGTCACTCCGCGGAAGCAGTGCGTCACAGAGGCGGCTTATCAGGGACGCTGGTGGTTCGTTGTGGTGCAAGTGGCGCGGCGTGCGATAGTGGCGTGGCAAACCGTGATTGCTGGCCCGTCCAATGGCTGGAAGGCCACGCCCCGCAGACGACAAGCCAGCAGCTGCTCAAAAACGTTGTTTGGGCTAATTGAATGCATTCCTTAATGACTGCAAATGCCAAACTGCTTTCCTTTTGTGCTGGCATTAGGGAAAATTATGTTTGAGTTCTGAGCTGGTCTGTTATGTCTCCTCTTTCCTCTCGCCCCCCTCCACCACCAGTTTTCCTTCTTCTCTCGCCAGTCAAGTCTTCTTCGTGGCATTAAAATGACGTCGCATTAAAATGGTTTGTGGTCGACGGGGAGTTGAGGGGGGAAAACGTCGCCATGGCCGCATAAATTTCACCCTAATACCCGGCCATAATGCTGATTATACCAAGAGGCAGACGTTGAAATTCAGAAGACTCCTCTTCAAGTCGGAATGAAGTGAGAAATTTAATTTGGTCCCAGCTCAAAAGTTTGCCGCTGCACTCCAGTTATCAGCTGGCCCGAGTGCCATAAAGAGTGGAATTTATAGTGCGATAGCGAATTAGAATCCCCTCCAACTAAAAGTGAACAATTAAAGCAGAGTCAGAAGCTTATCGCCGAACTGCGAAACAGCAGCCGCAACTTGTTTGGCGGTGGCCTTAGATGTCTCGCACCCATTTGTGGCGCAAATTTAGTGTCGAGTAAATCGGGATCCAACCTCAAATATAAGGTACATAATTCAAAAATTGGTTTTCTTGAAACTCCTGTGGAATTTGTGGAGTGGAATTTTCATTATCCGCTTGCACTGTGATCCTATTCCGAGTTCGGCCTAGAGTATTACAGTGTGCTTGTTTTCGGGAGCGACAGGTGCATTGGCCAACTGGAAAAGCGGTTCATTGACCGCTGGCCAAGTAAACAAGTGAGTGGCCGCAGCGTGGGCAACGCAACCCAGCGGAGAAGCACGCGAATTCATTTCAAGTGGTTCCCAGCGGCTGTTCTCTTTATCGGGTGGGTCCAACAAGCCCCAGTTATGTTGTATGTATGTTAAGCAGTTTCAAAATCTAGATGTTAATTATCGCACGCAAACCTGGCGAACCAAACTGGGCAGAGTGGCCCACTCAGGCAGCTCGCCAGTTGGGCAGCTCATCAAACCCACAATCTCTGGCGGAATGTCGGACGTCCTGGTGGCATAAGGGGAGCCACTGCGGTCTGCGGTGCCTGTCTTTGGTGCCCTTTGCCATTTGCCCTTTGGCATTTGGCCTTTGCCCTATCTGCAGTTGCAGCACGTACCACCCACATCGCCGGGAAGCAACTAATCACGACGAAACTGCGTCTGTGCAAGCCCCTCGCCCTTTGTGGGTAATTGCAATCAAAACGATTGTTGTTTGGCAAATTGAAGACACATTGATTGTTGCCACGCACCACATTCGCCCTAATTGTGTATGTAAAGTGCCACCAATGAAGAGCAGCTACAAAGAACATGTGGCGTTAGCTCCCTGAAACTAACTCCAGATATCCGAACAGTTAACATTTCCGCTGACGGGCATAAACAATATTCATTAGCACTTTGACGCGTGTAAGTAATGTGCGACTGCCGAGCAACAAGGCGGTATTTTATGATCGACAGCGAGCTACCTTACAATTTTACAATTACAACTTAAAGTCAAGAGAAATACCGACTTCTTTCTTAACAAGCTGTCTTGCAATACGTATACTTGATATAGTGATTCTGTTGCCAGTGCAATATTTAAACGATGGACGATAGAGCAGTTAAATGCGTTCGGATAGCAATTATGCCGGATAATTATAGCCAATTACCACAGCAAAGAGCTGAAATGACTGTAGCTGTCCTTCGATTTGTTAATTTGCCTTCTTCACAAAGGATGATGGGCTTGTAAGGCGAGTTTTTCAGCCTCCGCCGGGGGAAAACGGATATACCCGTGCGTTGGCGAATATGGAACTCATATGATGCAAACATATCTAGCCCAGAGAAAACCATGTTTATACGCTGTCTGTTTCAGCGTAGGTTTTTTTTTTTGCGCGGCCGCTGTGGGAATCTAAGAGATTGCTTTTGCAAAACCGGTAGCTGCTGCCGGGGGAGTTTCAAGCACAGATACTCAGATACAGATACAGATACAAACTGTTTTTGACGTAGGCAAACGGCAATAATCAGAATGGCAGCGCAACAATAAGAAATAACATCGAAACGTCGACCCCCGAGGCTCGAGAATCGAATCGCTGTATTAAGTGACGCGCTGCTTCGTCAGCAAATGAATATTTAATCGGAATATTTAATCGTTTTGTCGATGGAGCGCACACGTAGTAAGCGAAATATGAGTATTCAAATCATTTTTTGGCGTAGAGGTGGTCCATTCGTCTTCGTCCCTCCCAAATGTTTGATCTCTCTCCTAATTGATTGAAATTGATATTTATGATTGTATATTGTCATCAAACAGATAGCGTTTTATGCTCTGCTCTTGCCTACGCATTCAATCTAGTTTTGAACTAGGGAATCTCATTATGGAAAATTACCGCTGGGAATCCCCGATCTCATCAGGCTCCCTTGGAACCTTGGAACTCCGTTGTGAGCTTGCCCCATCCACTCGCATCTTACCTCACGAAATAGCGCGTTAGGTAATACGTACATGTTGCGGGGAACCGCAGAGGACAATGCGGCAGGTGGCACGTGGTGACCCAGTAGCGCAGCTGTGACCCCAACATGCTTAAAAATGCATGCACTAATGACCGCAGAGACGACAGGTTCATGTACACAAAGTTCCAATCCTGCGACAGCGTTTTGTTTCATCGCCCTCTAACGCCCTCTGGTCAATGGTCAACGGGGCGTATGATTAATGTTTTAAATTTTCATGCGAGAATAACCGGAATTCGAAATAATTGAATCACTATGCGGGGACTACAAATCGATATGGGTTGGCCGCGGATT